CATTCCTGACGAGCCTCCGTTCCTCTGCCGCCGGCGTTTCTGAGCCGAAACATTTGGCAACTTTTCCAAGCTGTTTTTCCGCCGAGGCTGCGTGTTGGCGGCTCCGGGGGCAGGTGGGGAGGCTGCCCACCCGCCTGGGCGTCTCGCTGGGTGGTGAGTTGGCCACAGGCCCCCCTTACCCTCTGGGGTGGGTTGTGCCAGGAGCAGGGCACACAGCTCAGCTGCTCTTGGGGCAGGATCTTCACATCTGGTGCGGCAGCTCTGACTGTTTGTTGCTTGGATCATGGACCCCGCGGTTCCCCCTGTGCTTCCTGAGGCTCTTGGGGCTTGTGTCAGGTCTGATCCATCAGGGTGAAAGAAGAACTGGTCTGTTGCCATAGATGCACTTGGACATAAATATTCTTTATTCTTTATTTCTTTATTGTTCTGTATTTAAAACCTACGTATCGATGTTAACAGCAGAGCTTGGTGTGTCTCAGTTCTCCATCCCGTGAGCTGGGGCAAGGGGGAAATGCTTCTCGGCAGAACGGGAACGAGGATTTGGTGCTGGAGCTCCATGCCCTGAAGTGCCTCCAGCTGCTTCAAGCAGAGCTGGAACCTCTCCTGGCCAGCATCCCTGTCCTGCTCTCCGGGGAGTGCTCCCTTGAGGTGTAGTTGGGAAGTGGAGTTTCTCCCAGACTTAGCATCATGGAATTAGTAAGGCCTCTAAGACCTTCAAGTCCAACCACTGCTGGGTCACCACTGAACCATGTCCCCAAGTGCCACATCCACACATTTCAGGAAGATTCCTGTGAAACGGGCAAACTGTTTTCCAAAGGGTTGTTAGTCATTGGAATGTGCTGCCTAGAGAGGTGGTGGAGTCATCATCCTTGGAGCTATTGAAGGAATGATTGGATGTGGCACTCAGTGCTCTGATCTGGTTGACAAAGTGGAGATTGGTCACAGGTTGGACTTGATGATCTTGGAGATCTTTTCCAACCTCAGTGATTGTGGGGTTCTGTGATTTTTTGACATGCTGATTCCTGAGCTTGTTGCACCTCCATGGCTATAACGGGTTTCTCTTCTTCCTTGCTCAACTGTGCCAGAGTCCAGGCGAGCTGCTGACTCGCAGCGTCCCCCTCACAGCTGTCTGGGGACTGTGTCGAAATCCCTGGTTTAATCTGAGGGAAGATTGCGTGTTTCCTTCCTCCTCCTGTCAGGCCACAATTGATGTGTTTGCAGACTGCACAGCAACTGATTCATGCAGAGCAAAGTTATGTGCTGGATCAGCAAAGCTCCTTCCCCAAAAAAACCCCACAGTTCTGCAGTGCTTGACTGGGAATGGGGTAAATCGGGTGCTCCATGACTTGGGTTACGAGAGGGAGAACCTCCGGAAGCAGCTCTGGTGCGCAGTGTGGGGTTGATGACCCACTTGTGTCAAGTGTCACTGTGTCCATCTCTGGGATCTCAACATATGAAGGATGAGGCCAGAGGAGGCCACAGAGATGATCCAAGGGCTGGATCAGCTCTGCTGTGGAGCCAGGCTGGAAGAGCTAGGGGTCTCCAGGGAGACCTTAGAGCCCCTTCCAGTGCCTAAAGGGGTTCTCAGGAAGTTGGAAAGGAATTTTGGGCACAGGCCTGGAGTAACAGGGTGAGGGAGAATGGCTTCCCATCTGTGAGGATGGGGAGGCACTGGCACAGGTTGCCCAGAGCAGCTGTGGCTGCTCCATCTCTGGAAGTGTTCCAGGCCAGGTTGGATGGGGCTTGGAGCAACCTGGGCTGGTGGAAGGTGTCCCTGCCCATAGCACGGGATAGAACTAGGTGATCTATAAGATCCTTTCCAACCCAAACCATTCTGGGATTCTATGAAAAGGGAAAATCCAAGCACAGTGTGACACAGAGGAGTTTGTGGCAGCTTGGTCACGATCACTCAGGCCATGGCGGGTGTGAAACCAGGAAACATCTGTGCAGGTGGGTTTCAGGCTTTGCTGAAGTTGCCAACCTGCCTGTGTTGAGCAACGTGGATGACCTTCTTGGTGCTCCCCTTTCCTCTGTCGTCGTTCCATCTGTCTATCCCCTCCTTGCCGGGAACCAGCACCCCCAAAGAGTGCTGCCAGCGTGGATCCCAGCACAGCGAGGTTGTTTGGCTGCTTCTCCCAGGAAGAGCCTTGGAAAGCTGACATTCCCTGTTCTCTGCCCCCACCAACTCCTTTCCAAACACTCTCAAATAAATAAATCTTGGGAAATGAGTTCGGCATGGCGCAATCTCCCGCAACGCCCCGCCGGGTTGAGCAAGGAGGAAGATTGATCCCAGGATGGGAATTGGTGGGGAGGAGGCACCCACTCCACTGCAGGAGGAGGGGGTGGTCACTGCCGCCGGGTTCTTCCTCCCATGGAAGTCGTGGCAGGATCCCTCCATGTCCAGGGACAGGGTCATCCCTGCTGGGTCCCCTCAGCTGGGTCTGTAGTGTGTATTGGTGGTCATGGGTGGCCATGGCACTGTCCCTGGCACCCTCTCTGCTGCTGGGGGGACGCAGAGAGAAGAGTCTGCCCCCCCTCCACTCTTCCCTTCTCCCAGGATGGGGAGGGGAGGTTTCTGCAGGCCAGCACCAGGGGTTAAAAATAGACATTTGCTAAATTAGCTTCCACCGAAAGTTCAAGAGGAAATCCAGGTTTAGCTGAGGCTACAAGAGAGAGCTGAAAATAATAATAATAAAAAGCAATTCCTGCAAAGGAGGGGGGAGGATGGCAAGCAGAGAGAGAAGGAGCAAAGCTGGAAAACAAAAGCCTTTGAGGAGGGTAATGCTTTCCAGCTGCAAAAATACGGTCTGGGAGAGGAGCAAGTGCTTGCGTCAACCCCAGCCCCCCCGCCCAGAGCTGCCCTGCTCAGAGCAGGGGCCTGGCTGGAGACCCCTGTGGGGGTCAGGACCCTCTGGTCACC